TGCCACCTCAGCCAGTGTGTCCACCATCGCTCTGTTGTTCTCATCGTATTCCTCTCTTGGCCTCCTGTAGTTCTGTAGTGGGTTATACATCACTGCACTGAATACCTTATGGTCCCCAGATTGAATTGTACCTAATATGTAGTCCCTTTCTCCAATCTCGTCCATTCCTTCCATTTCCTCAAAACTCCATCGGTTTTTTATGAGCAGTGCAACCCCTCCTCCCCCTCTGCTCCTTCTATCTTTCCTCAGGATCTGATATCCTGGTGGGAAGACTGCATCTATTGTTGTCTCAGTGAGTTTCGTTTCTGTGATGCAATGATGTTCTGGGGATTCTTCGTTGATTCTTTCATGCCACTCCTCATATATTGTTTGTATTCCATCTGTGTTTGTGTACCACACTTCAGCTTCTTGTATTCATGGTGACTAGGGAGTATATGGGGTTGGGGGGAGCGGGAGCCCTGGGGGGTCTATGGGGGTTTGTGGGTGGGTGGGAGTTTTTTGATAGGGGTGTATGAGGGCAGAGTGCCTGTAGGGAGCTGCTGTTAGCAGTAGGGTTTGTGATGTGTGTGCGTGGGGGCAGATGGGAACAGTGTGTGGGTTATGGTTGAGCCAGTTCGGCTGACGTTGGGGTTGTCATTTTGTGGGGGGAGTTTGTGGTGGGGGACAGAGTGCCCATAGGGGGCTGCTGTAGGGGTGGGGTTTGTGATGGGGGTAGAGGGAACAGTGTGTGGGTTCGTGGTTGAGATTATTCAGTTGCTTCAGGGTTGTAGTGGTTGGAGTCTTCTGCAGGTGTCTCTGTAGGGTGTATTTGTCCTTCCACCTGAGTCTGGGTTCTGCTCGTCTTCATCGATGCATCCCGTTCCTCCTTTCGTCTTGTACCCTCTCTCTTCAGTATAGTCCCTTTCCTGCTGTGTTCTGTCGCGATCTAGGTAACTCTCAGTACTCTGGTTTGTCCCTTACGACTTTAACGTGCTTTTCCTGCAGGACCCTGGTTCGAGCTGATTCTGCCTTGAAGATTACTTTGACAGGCCGTCTCCTTCCTTTCGCCCCAAACCACCCAATTCTCCGAAAATTTGCCACCTGGGTCATGTCTTCCCTCACCTTTGTTCATTGATGCCTTCGAGAGTGCTTCTTCTCCACATGGTTTCTTTCATTCGAACTCTTCGAGCTCGTAGACCAACAGGACCTCTCCTTCTCCTCCTTCCACTGTGTCTTTCTTTGCATCCTACGAGGTGTTTTACCTCTTTCTTTGAAACACTCCTGCCATTCAACTCCTGCCCTTGCTACCAGCCCCTATGCTCAGTGGACTGTTTTCCCTTGCCCCAGCTGTTCCTGCCACCTGTATTGACTGTTAGAGCTCTGCAATGTCATGTCACCTCGTGTCTTCAGGCTTCTAATTTGGTTTCTTGTACTCATCTTTACCTGAATCCTACAGCCCCCTCGTCTGTGACTCGTGTAGAAGTCTGGATGTTTTGTTGTACTGTCATTTGTCTCTTTGTCTGTTTCAGGTTTTTTTACTCCTCTTCTAAGCCACTTTATTTTTCTCTTATGCGGCTAGGTCGTGTAGTCACCTCTGCTCTATTACCCTGCCGAGCTCTGCTAGCATTCCTTCCCCACTCTTTCTTCCTTGGACGCCCTGGGGATATTAAGAGAATGTGAACTCTGCTAATGATTAAGAACTGAGCTACAATGGAATAATAATACTGAGTAGATAGATAATTAGTATGAAGAAAGAACGATTGGAAGTAGAAATCTGTTCTTTAGAGATTTCAGCATCTTTTGTTGCCCGATGGCCTCAAACCGTTGAAGTATTCCTCAGGAACTATAGGAGTCTCCTGCTTCTTTTTCCCTCAAATTCATGCAACCTCATCCCAACACAAATTATTCAAGTAATGGGAAAGTGTACTGGAAGATGGAGGAAATATTCTGAGGAGCTGTTTATTTGTTTGATGAAGAGAGGGGCAGTGTATTTCATGTGAAACTCAGGGAAGTATATCATATTAGGAGTGAGAGAGCAAGATGAGGTGTGGGGGAAGTTGTGTTAGTACAGTGGGTAATAAAAATAGAAAAAGGGGTAAAAAGCAACTGGGATTGATGGGATTAAGACTAAATGTTCTAAAAAACTAGGTGGGGATATAGTTTTGGAGTGGGTTGGAGCATACTGTTCAACAAATGTATAAAAGGTGGGAAGGGTACCTAGGGAATAATATAAGGAAAAAGAGGATAAGAGTGTGTGTGTAGATATATAGAGGAAGAAGTATGTTGAGCACACCAGGTAAACATGTTGATAGAGTTATATTTAAATAATTATGGGTGTAGTAGACAGAGAGCAAGGATCACAGATGAACAGAAGGTTTTAGACAGGATTAGGGCACGTGCTGACCAAGTGTTTACATTGAAGATGCAAAACGTGAAACAATATTTAGTAAAAGATATAAAAGTTTTTGTTACATTAATGGATTTAGAAAAGGTGGGAGACGGACCGACTTCTTGTGAAAAAAAAATAAAATCAAAAAAAATATGATAGGATGGTAAAGGAGCAACAATGTGGCAGATGTTCAAGTGTATGGAATAGGTGGCAGGTATTTCCTAAGTCAGTTAACAGTTTATGAGGGAGGGCAAGGATCAGGTTTGAGTGATGAAGGAGAGAAGGAGAAGGAGATATTTTCCAGTTAATTAAAGCAGGGCACTTAGCCAGGTATGCGTGTATGTTACCATGGGTGTTTACTATATTATATACATGGGGTTGTAAAAGAGTGAATATTAAGATGTTGGGGATAGGGTGGGATTAAAACAAGGAAATCTAATACAAAGTGGGAGTTGCCACATTTGCTTTCTGCTGATGAAATGGTGCTTTTGGGAGATTTTGAAGAGAAATTGCAGACTGGTAGATGAATTTGAGAGACTAAGTGAACATAGGAAAGAGCAAGGTGATGAGAGTAACAAAAAATTTAGGTAATGAAATGTGGATATCAGATTGGAAGAGGGAAGTAGGGAGGCAAATAAAAGCATTCAAATATTTGGGAGTGGACTTGTTAGTAGATGGGTCTGTGAAAGATGAGGTAAACCACAGAACTGACAAGGGAACAAAAGGTGGCTGGTGCACTGGGGCATCTGTGGAGACGAGAATGTTATCCATGGAGGAGTACACTCTTAGACGAGTGTGAACCATGGATTTTAAACACCACAGCAAGGAGGCGGCTGGGGGCAATACGATCTTATGTATGAGGGCAATGTTTGATGTGAATACTGTACAAAGAATTCATAGTTTGAAGATTAGGTGTTTGTGGGGTTACTAAAGTATTATCCAGATGACTGAGGAGGAGTTGTTGAGGTGATCTGGGCATTCAGAGATGGAGCAAAATTGGATGACTTGGGTGTATCATCCTAGGGTAGGGATCATCCTAGTAAAAGGCTGGAGGAAGGATTCAAGGTTTAGTATGCAAGGAGCTTGGGCATCTGACAGGCATGTGTGAACATATTAGATAGGATTGAGTGGTTGCAAGTGACTTTTATAACTTGATGTGTTGTTGGAGTGTGAGCAAGATAACATTTATGAAAGGATTCAGGGAAAACTGGTTTAGCTGGATTTGAGTCCTGGAGCAGGAGGTACAGTGCCCACACTCAAAATGAGGGGTGGGGGGTTACTGCAGTTTGGAGAGGCATCTGAGCTGTAGTGTCAGTTCACATATGGCAAAATGGTGATGGAGGTGTGATAGTGAAAGTGCTTCTTTTTCGGGCAACCCTATCCTGGTGTGTTTAAAAAAAAAAAAAATTGAAGGAAACCTTGAAACTCCTTGCTCAGTACTATTACTAGAAACTAGTAAAATCAAAGGAAAGCACTGTCATGTGAACAGGGAGAAATCTATGAGAGTGAAATGCAAACCCAGTATGAGGAGGTGGCACATCATTTTACTTCACCCAAAAACAGAAAAACGTTTATACATGGACCCTCTATCTAAATTCTGACCAACAAGCACCATCAAGAGGAATCAACTACACATTACCTTGCATTTTTTAATTTGTGTGTGCCCCTAGCATACCTTTCAGTATGAATGGTAAGGGAAAGGGGAAGGTAGATAACCTGCACATAAAAATCATTTAACCCTTTAAGGGTTGGTGCTATACTAGTATGGCGTGCACGCCAGGGTTGGTGCCGTACTAGTATGCATAAATTCTAGCGCCTTCAAATCTAGCGAGAGAAAGCTGGTAGGCCTACACATGAAAGAATGGGCCTATGTGGTCAGTGTGCACAGTATAAAAAAAAAATCCTGCAGCACACAGTGCAGAATGAGAAAAAAAACTCCGACTGTGTTTTTGGTTTAAAACAGAAATGTTCGATTTTTGCCAAAGTTCAAAAGTAAACAAAACATGCCGTGAGTCCAATTCATGTCAACTGGTGAGTCTAATATTCTTTCACAAGTGCGCTGATATTATTTATACCATTTCTACACCATTTCTACACTAATGCAGTAGTCTGCATAACAGTAAACCTTCTATTTTTTGTGAGAATAAAAATTCAAAGTGGAAAGCAAAAGAAATGTAAGAGGCCTGGGGATGTGACTAATAAACAGAGAAAATGTTATTTTAGTGCTAGGAATGTCTGTCTTGTTTATTCTGGACCCTATTTGGAAATTGGCATCTTTTGAAATTTATATGAAATTGGCAAAATTGCCAATTTCTGACCACTTTATTGGATAGTTGAAATCGGTAAATGGGTGGTTTCTTGTACTCATTCGATAGAAAAAATGGAGTTCTAGCAAAATAGTTATGATTTTTGTCAATTGGTACATTGGAATTGGACGAAAATAGGGCTCAAATTGGGCGAAATCGCCGATGCGTAAACATCGTCGAGACCTCTAACTTCACGAGAGCATAATTCTGTAAGTTTTCCATCAAATTTCATACTTTTGGTTCATTATGATCGGGGAAAAGATTCTCTATCATTCCAAAGGAAAAAATTTATTTTTTTTTTTAAATTTCGGACCCTGAGAACAAGTTTAGGAGAGGGCCTGCCAACCCTGCAAGGGTTAAGATATTAGTTCAATACAATTTATGCTAATATAAGCACCTTTGGGAGACTAATTCACAAGTCCTCTAAACTGACCTGTAATCTGGCCCTCACAGTGTCAGAGGATTGGTTAAAAGAACAGTTGTAACTCCCCCAAGAGGTGCTGCAACACACTGAAGTAACAGTGTTGATGTCCCTTCAGGAGAAATATGAGCTAATTTGTCTGCAAATAAACAAATTATTAATAAAATTATTTTTCCAAAATCTGTTATAATGTTTAACTTGTTCCACATTATAAAATATTTTTCTTTTGTGTATGGGCATATTTTCCTCCAATAAGCTGGTCAAACAAAAGTGTATGCCACACATCTTTCTTTCAAACTGACTACACAACTTGACAGCAATAGTTAAGAAGTAAAGAAAGTTTATTTATGAACACCTTATACATGTATTAGCCTAGGTTCTGACAGCGTCAATAAAATAGTGATTGTTTCAGGGGTTTTCCTACTCCCAGCCTGGCTCCATGCTAATCAAATTAAATTACAATCTTCATTCATCTCTTTGTAGTATATTTCAAGTAAATTTTTGCTTAATGACTAGGCCTCAAACAGATTCACACTGGGCACTCAAATCAATAGTTTAGTCAAGTCCTTCTTGGGCTTCAAAACACTTCCAGAGATTACGACAGGAAAACATTTAGCTGATATTTGGGCGAAAGACAAGTTAACTAGCCAATGAAGAGTGCTAAATTTTTATCCATTTTTTTAACACGCTGGCCATCTCTCACGGAGGCAGGGTAACCAAAAAAGAAACACTTTCACTATCATTCACTCTCACTGTCTTGCCAGAGGCACACAGATACAACAGTTCAGATGTTCCTCCAAACAGCAAATATCCCAAACTCCTCCTTTAGAGTGCAGGCACTGTACTTCCCACTTCCAGGACTCAAGTCTAGCTAACTGGTTTCCTTGAATCCTTTCACAAATATACTCACACTCCCAATCATTGGTCCCAAAAACCATTTTATTTCACTACTCCCAAT